TTTCTTTTATAAATATGATAAAACTAAAGACTCTTTGGGGCTATGAACGATGCTATACTACTCTATAGGTACTCAAGATCAACATGAGATTGGGTGAAACTGTGTGTGTTATGTCCCCTTTAATAATAGTGTTTAGTATTGAGAAACGGTGCCTGTTCGTGATGGTGATTTTAGTTACATTGTTCCGCCATTAGATGGTGACAAGACACTGTTTTTATGAGTGAGTCAGCAGTAAAGACTTTTACTTTGAAAAATAAAGGCTATAAATGGAAGTTATTTTTAGTTTCAACAACAGCTTGATGCAGCGAACAAATGCACTGAGCAGCAAAATCATCCTTAACAGATGAAAGGATATTAATGTTACGACAAAGATAACGCTTTTCTCAGCAGATATTCAAACTAATGTTTATTGTGATATGAGACTGATCTGAAGAATGAATGCTGTATCAGATGCAGGTAATCACACTCGCTCAGTCCATCTCTCTCTCTTACAATATCTACTATACATAATACACTGCTTTTAATACAGTAATACAATAAGCGTAGTAATAGTACTAAACAACTATTTAGTACGTAATAATAGATCTAAAGTGATGTTTTGGAATTAGTAACAGAGGCTTGGGCTCAGCTGTTCAACTGTCAAACTTTGATTTGAATCCATGGCAGAAGGAAGTAGTTCTGCACGAAAGAGGGCTTTTAAAGACACTCTGTTGTTATTTTATGTATTTACACACTCGTGCCATCGAACTGTTGTATAAATGCAATATCACATGAGTAGCCGTGCGTTATGGCTGTATATCGGCACACTGTGATTACCTACGGCCGAATCACAGCCATGCCGATATACCAATTTGGACGTATGACAGAGTATTTCTGTGCCAAAAATCTTACTTCCGGGTTCGTACAAGTTTCTGAGAGTTTTTTTTTTGATCGTGGCTCTTAATGAGACGAGGGTGGAACTCCTTATATGGGCATTTCTCCCGGAAGAACGCGCATGCATCGACCAGAGCAAGAGCGAGATCGCGCCCATCAATGCGCTTCATCCGGCGACAGCGCTGCACGGGACTTGCTCGGGAAGAATGTCTCCAATCCAAAGCAGTGTGTTTTTGGTTGTAAGGGAAAGATAACTTTGTTCAGCTTCCTAAAGAACCCAGCATTATGTAAACAGTGGATACAGTTTGTTTTTCCGTGGCAGCAACGGAGTTTCACAAGTGTGTTTGTTGACGAACGTTTAATAAACAAGGCCCAGTTCGGCACTGGATTTGCACATCGTTTGCTACTGGAAGATGGAACGGTCCCAGCTATAAAAGATCCCAGACATGATTCAGAACTGCAGACGGTAAGTGAAACGGCGTCAAATGTCTGTGTTTTGTTGGCAATCGGGCAAGTGCTAGTCACTTTAGCTCCTCCCACGACACCCGCCTCCTGGAGCTCGGCTGTTTTCGGAGAGAATCGGAAAGCTGTATTTTTCTTTTATAAATATGATAAAACTAAAGACTCTTTGGGGCTATGAACGATGCTATACTACTCTATAGGTACTCAAGATCAACATGAGATTGGGTGAAACTGTGTGTGTTATGTCCCCTTTAATAATAGTGTTTAGTATTGAGAAACGGTGCCTGTTCGTGATGGTGATTTTAGTTACATTGTTCCGCCATTAGATGGTGACAAGACACTGTTTTTATGAGTGAGTCAGCAGTAAAGACTTTTACTTTGAAAAATAAAGGCTATAAATGGAAGTTATTTTTAGTTTCAACAACAGCTTGATGCAGCGAACAAATGCACTGAGCAGCAAAATCATCCTTAACAGATGAAAGGATATTAATGTTACGACAAAGATAACGCTTTTCTCAGCAGATATTCAAACTAATGTTTATTGTGATATGAGACTGATCTGAAGAATGAATGCTGTATCAGATGCAGGTAATCACACTCGCTCAGTCCATCTCTCTCTCTTACAATATCTACTATACATAATACACTGCTTTTAATACAGTAATACAATAAGCGTAGTAATAGTACTAAACAACTATTTAGTACGTAATAATAGATCTAAAGTGATGTTTTGGAATTAGTAACAGAGGCTTGGGCTCAGCTGTTCAACTGTCAAACTTTGATTTGAATCCATGGCAGAAGGAAGTAGTTCTGCACGAAAGAGGGCTTTTAAAGACACTCTGTTGTTATTTTATGTATTTACACACTCGTGCCATCGAACTGTTGTATAAATGCAATATCACATGAGTAGCCGTGCGTTATGGCTGTATATCGGCACACTGTGATTACCTACGGCCGAATCACAGCCATGCCGATATACAGTCATATCTCACGTCTACTCGTGTGATATTGCTTATATATGGATTGTATATAAAATTAAATATATGAAATGTTACTGCATTTTCTATTGTTTAGCTTTTTTTTATTAAGTATTAATTATTTAATGTACTGTTAAGGACCATTACTGGATTACATTTATTTTGCGTCTAAAAAGTACTTTTATAAGTATTATTTTAAATTGATTTATTTATCAATTTGTATTTATTGTTCTGGGGGCGTATTGCAGAAAGATCCTAACTTTAAAATCTTATCTTATCAGTTTGGCAACCATGGTAATTTCAGTTAGGACCACATTTAGGGCAAAAGCTATTACAGAACAGCATTTCCTAAGTGCGTTATCTTATCTTAAAGCTGCAGTCCGTAACTTTTTTTGGTTAAAAATGATCCGAAATCAATATTTGAGCAAGTACATGACCAGCCAATGTTCAAAACTATCGTCTTACTTTAGCTCGATTCACAACGGTAAGCTTATAATAATGTTTTCTAATTTGAGTGTACGGGTAGGTTTTCGCGGGAAATTCGAGATGTCACGTCTGTAAACATAAAGAAGTTGTCCCGGCTACTTGACTATCGCATGTGAGGATCCTGCAGGTGGCAGATCGTTTATAGCCTTTTCTCACAGCAGCTACAATAATTAATTTTATCATTTTGATGGACTATTGTAATCCAGAAAGGATTATGTGTTTATGAAACACATGTGAATGAAATTAAATTATATTCCAGTTTTAAATGTGCATCTGATTACAGATAGCCTGGGATTACACAAGATTTGTATTTTAAAGACAACCAGTTCGAAGGGAGAATAGTTTGCTTTTTGGGTTAAAAGAATTTCTTAATATGAAATTCGAATGGTATGACAATTAGAGATTAGACTGTGCAGAAACTGAAATCACGCGCTAATTAATACACACTATACTCATAGTCACGCAATGCTGATGTTAACATAAATAATTTGAAAACAAAGTATAACAATAATAATAATTTGCACGGTTTGATGTGATATACAAAAACCTCCTAACTTGACAAAAAATCCTAAAAAACTGTCTTAACTTTAGGGCAACCCCACAGCTGTCCTAACTTCATAATTATTTAAAAGCTAACGGAAAAACCGCTTACAGTTGCACTGTCCAACAATGGCATTACATTTATTAATAATTGAAAATGAAGAACGGAGATTTTTAATGGTAGAAAGACTCTTGGAGGACCCTGAAGATGTGTTACATTTTGATGACAAAACACTTATAAGTAATTACAGACTGCCGTGCAACATGATATTACAGTTAGCACAGGAACTGCAACCAGCATCTCAGAGACCAACCAAAGCATCACTGAGTATTACCGGTTGTAGTGCAGTTCTTTTGCAAAAGGAGATTTTCAAAGTGAATAGCTTTTATTATTTAGTTTACCTCATCAGCAGCTAGCGCAGTGTTGGTTGCTTGGTAACAGACCTGAGAGTGGATTGTCGAACTTGATGATGCAATTTAAGATTTCCTAACTAGAGATAAGATAGGATTTTGTAAGATAGGATATGAATCCCAAATCAAGTTAAGATTTGCTTCTATAATATGAATTTGCGAAAAATTCTAATTTAACATCATATCTTAAAGGGATAGTTCACCCAAAAATTAAAATTCTGTCATTAATTACTCACCCTCATGTCATTCCAAACCTGTAAGACCTTCGGTCATCTTCGGACCACACATTAAGAGATTTTTGATGCATTCTGACAGCTCTCTGACCCTCCCATAGACAGCAAGGATCCTTACACGATCAAGGCTCAGAAACGTAGCAAGGAGATCGTTAAAATAATCCATGTGCCATCAGTGGTTCAACCATAATGTTATAAAGCTACGAGAATACTTTGTGTGTGCAAAAAAATCAAAAATAACGACTTTATTCAACAATTTCCCGTGTCACCCTGGTGCCATTTTGGAGAGTATCACATTCGTCTCTCATTAGCAATTGCTTCAGCGGCCTCGTTTCGCTTCGACGACTTTCCGCCTCACTCTGCTTCATACTACGATGTTAATAAATTTTGAATACATTAGCTCATCCATGAAAATGATTTCTGCCCGAGTCCCGTCGGATTGCTTCGGCTGTGGGGATGAAGATGACAACTCCCATGATTACACACTCAGTCACGGCATCATCAAACTACGCCTTTGTTTCTTTGTTGGTTTTGAATACGTGCCCTCTAGCGGTGAAAACTTACATATTGTACCTTTAACTAATGGAATTTTATTTATTTATTATTTTTTGCTTATTAGCTCTATTTAGTTTTTTGGGTGTCAGAAACACATTTTATAAATTACTAAAAGAATCATTAATGCACCTGTTAAGGACTTACAGAATAATCTGAACCAGAACAGCTAATGACAGTCGTTAACTGTAGTAAAATCACTGTATGGAAAGGCCTGCCATGGTGAATAAGAGCCCACAATTATTACACACAACATATGGTACACATGGGAATAAAAGTATATAATAAAGGCGTATGTACTTAAACTGCACACATACAAAATGTCAATCAAGCATCAGATTTCAATTTCACAAGGTTAGTCTTCAAACATGGGTGGGATTGGTGTGTGATCCCATAGATAAGATAAATACATACAAGATTTGTTGAGAGTGTCAGTTTTGATGGATAAGTCGAGTGAAATACTCACTCTGTTGACTGGGCCGCCCGCCGGAGCCCCCTGACGAACCGGGTCTGCTGCAGCTCTGCTGGGGTTCACTGTTCGAGAACTGGGGGGCCAGTGGTAGCAGACGAGACCTGCCAGCACTGCCTGCGTCACTGTCAGGGGTACGAGGAATCTTAGGCTGGCTTGCAAAGCCCACGTTCTGGCCACTAGAAAGGAGAGAACGAAAGAGATGGTACTAACTTTACATTTAAAATTTGCCTTCGTCCAATGCTTAAGAGTGACTAGCAGACTCATCTGAACCCATTTGCTACTCAATCAAATATATCTAGTTGAAGGATTTTTAGACATTTTACTGTAACAAAACAACACTTATTATAAAGAATAGGGTTTTTAAGGCTCTTTTCTTTTGTATAGAAAGTTTAGCTAAAAATACAGAAATAGTATTTTAGCTTAGCATAAAGCTAAAATACAAATTGGGATTCCCTACCAAAGCGCCATGGATGCTGCCCCTTCCAGTGTCCTGTGCGAGCCTCCTGCGCCCCTTTTTGGTGTAGGACGGGGCTCACAACAAGAAGACCAGTCACTGTTGTCGTTGCACTACCCACTCAGTAAGATTGGATAACACTGGGAAAACGTACCCATTCCACTTGGAACAGGGATGCTGCGGAAGCCCCCTCCTTCCTGAAGGAGGTTTCGGAAGCAAATACACATATGAACATCCGTTTAGGTGCATATGGAAAATTGGAGGTGATTGTAACCCTCATGGAATGGCAGAAGTCTACCGGGGAAACACGGGTTCTGAGGCTATACCGTGGACTTTACACATATGGGATCCACTTAGGCCTCTACATATGGAACCCAGCCCTCTACCGGTTCTCACGGATTCATCGAGTGAGGGCTTGGCGCCGGACATTCCGCCACGTCTTGCTGCCGCGGGGACGGAGGAGCTCGACAGGGCCTACAGTACGGACACTCTGGAGCAGTTTTAGCAAGCCAACACTAACCAGGGCCTCTCAGTGCCTCTACCCGTTAGAGGTGAGAACACAGGGGGATACCAGCTCAACACGAAGGCTATAGAATCTAGCGAACGTGTTGGGGGTCGCCCAGCCCGCAGCTCTACAAATGTAGAGGGTCCCCTACCCTCTTGATGGAGGCCAGTGCAAGCAGGAGCAGAGTTTTCATTGAAAGAAACTTTAGCCCGACTGACTGCAAAGGCTCAAATGGGCCCTGCTGTCGTGTTTTAAGCACCAGAGACAGGTCCCAAGAGGGTATAGAGGAGGGCCGGGGAGGATTTAACCTTCTGGCCCCCCTAAGGAACCTGATGACCAGATCATGCTTCCCTACCGACTTTCATTCCACGGGGTCATGGTTAGCAGCAATCGCAGCGACATAGACTTTAAGGGTGGAGGGAGACAGCCTTCGCTCCAACCCTTGCTGCAAAAAGGAAAGCACGACCTGATCGGGCATCTCCGGGGGTCTTCTCGGTGAGAAGAACACCACTCGACAAACAGGTTCCACTTCAAGGCATAAGCGTGTCTCGTAGATGGTGCTCTCGCCGAAGTGATGGTGTAAATTACCTCTTGGGGTAGGTCACCTAGAACCTCTGTGTCCCGTCCAGGGACCAGACATGAAGTTTCCAGAGGTCTGGATGCG